TGCCTTTGAAGACTGTGGTGTTGTTGTAAATGTGCAATACAAATAACGCTGAAATTGACATCGAAATGAGTTAAAAAAACAGCTATTTCAATGATGTATCTCTATCCTGTAAGTATTGTTGGAGTGTGTTTGTGCAGGGTGGCTCCATTAGCATTATTGATCGACACTGGGGAATGCTGATCTCGTAAGGCTACTCCCCAATGCCAACACAATACTTCTTCACTCGCCTGGACCACAAGTGTTTCCAACGAGAGGCAATCACTGTCGGATTCAATTGTTAGGCTACTAAAATTCATGATTAATTGCCTGGCCTGATATTTCTAATGAAAATGTAATTTGTGGTCAATATGAGTGTCCTCACATACTAAGCATTCCACATCCTCGCTCCTCCATGACTGACCTGCCAGATTCCACACCTGCCAATCCTGCGCTCCTCCTCCTCTCTCATCCTTCTAGTCTCTCCTGCGCCCACCTGGTCACCATGGGGAAGGAAACAGAGACTTCAGCCGCCGAACCTCTGTAACACAGACTCATCTCACACCGCAAAATCACCCTCAAAACGTAATCTGTTTAGCCTCATGGGGTGTCAAGTCAAGGCGTCCGGGGGCCAGATTTGGTCTGGCAAGACCATTTTTAGTGCCCCTAAAATTATTTCTGCCCATTATTATTAACTAAGCAGCATTAATTGGTATGGGATACTTTGATTTTGGATAAAAACCAAATTTAATGTACGCAAACATTTTTAACCCAATAAAACACTCATAAAAGTTAAATTAGTTCAATATTAAAATGTGTTTTACCTTTATTTTTTAACTTTTGATTTGGTTCAATCTTAAACAATAAACACATTGTGTCTACTGAAAAATAAACCAGAAAATAAACAGTGAAAACTCAGTCACATTAAAGTCATGTTAAAATACTTTAATTAATGTAAAAAATCGCTTATAAGAAAAGAAATCTTTCTATGTTTTGGACTTCCCGACCAGTTCCTATTTTTTCTAATCGGCCTCTGACCAAAATGGTTTGCTACCCTGGTTTGACAGTCGTACTCACTAACATCATAACCACACAAAATTCGTAACTTGTAATGTTGTGCATAAAAAATGAAAATGTATTATTATTTATTATCATTAATATTTCTGTTCTCCCTTCTCTCCCTTTAAACAGACATTCCGTGTATTTCAAAATTCATACTGGCGTGGTCCGTCGATCGCTGTTCAAAAGTTGTCGGTGTGTGAGATCAACATTATGGTTAATGGAAGAGGTGGGCCATTGTAAAAACACTTTCTGCTTCCCACTAAAACATCCGAGTCCCACTCAACTCCAGTTCACATCAACTATCGCGTCGTCGGTCGTGACCTTTTATTTCGGACCAAAACGACGTCTGTGGCCAAGGTGCGCATCTGGACGTAAAACAATGACCTCCCCATATACGTGGATATGAGTTCAATTCCGACCTCCCTTCTGACGTCGAAAAAGGTCCTCTGGCGACCGACGCAGTACGTCTTGATCTAGCAATACAATATAGTAGGCTGTGAAAGCATCTCAGTGTACCTGACGGTAGTGTAGTGGTTAAGCATACGTGTGCAGAGTCTTGGTTACGTGCGTACGAGCCCCGGGTGTGTATTATGATCTTTACATATTTGTTTGATTTTTAACGAAACATTTTTTTCTGTTTGGTTAAAGACTAATAAACACTCAAACATGGATTACGTAGTGGCTTATAATATAAACTTGTGAATGTATGCATTTGTTTGTCTAACAATTCTCAAGTTGCAAATTAAGGGGTGAGCACTTGAGATTGTATGCAAATGCATGGGTTCACAAGTTTGATTATTAGCCACTACCTATCTTATGTTGAGTGTTTATTCGTTTTTAACCAAACAGAAAAATTAGTTCGCTCAAAAAAGTAAAATGTCAAAGTTTTCCGCTGGGATTTGAACCTGCTCGTGTGGGGGGGGTGGGGGGGGGGGTGGGGGGACATTGAACTCAGTCTATTACGCAACCGCTACACCCTACCAGGCAATTATCCAGACTACTGTGACAAATAATACATACACCCTAAAACAAACCGACGCACCCACTTATGCGCGCGCGAGTATAACTTTAGGCTTTACAGCCTGGACACGAGAGTCGCTTCGGTCGAGGACCTGTTTTCCACGTCCCTAAACGACGTATGGGTGAATCTGGACGAAAGTAAATGCCTTCCCAGACGTGATATTGACGTTGAATCTGTACCTCTGTGTTTTTTTCGCTTGCATGCTTTTTTTTACTGGAATCACCCTCTCTTGTAAGGTACACAGTCTACACAGTTTTTAGATATTGATGTATCATTTCCACAATGAAAAGAGTTGGAGACAGAAAGAAGATTGTTTTCTCACGTTATAGTGGATTTTGTTAAAGTATATTTTGTATATATCTGTATTTTGAATTGCCAGTGCATGAATCTATTGAGAGTGAGGAGCGACGTGCATAGCACAGAGCCCCTCCCGTCTCCGCCATCCATGTTGGTAGTATCCCAGCGGCAAACATTGTTGTTGTTAAACTCGGTAGCAAAGGAGGTTATCGCCCACTATTTCTGTTTTACCAGGGGCATCACCCACCGTTATGGTGCGTAAGAAAGATGGAACTTACCGTGCATTGATTACAGGGCACTCAACGACCGCACCATCACCGATGCATACCCGCTGCCCTGGATCCAAGACACGTTGGACACACTTTCCTCTGCTAAGTGGTTCAGCACATTGGACCTTACCGTAGGCTATTGGCAAGTGGAGCTCACACCCAGAGCCCGCCGCGCAGCCGCCTTTTGCACACGAAACGGCCTGTTTGAATGGAACGTCATGTCATTCGGCCTGTGTAACGCAACAGCCACGTTCCAGCGTTTAATGGACCGCGTCCTGGCTGGTATACAGTGGGAGACCTGGTCTGGTTTACTTCGACGACATAATCGTGCTGGCCAGGGACGTTCCAGAGATGCTGCAGCGGCTGGGCCAGGTGTTCCAGAGACTCCAACAAGCAAATCTAAAATTAAAGCCCTCCAAATGCAGCCTCTTCCACCGCCAGGTCACCTATTTGGGTCACGTTGTGTCCGAACACGGTGTGGCCACTGATCCAAACAAGGTCCACAAAGTCCAGGCATGGCCCGCTCCCACTTCTGTCCAAGATGTGAGGCGTTTCATTGGCCTCGCCTCCTACTACCGCAGGTTTGTGAAAGACTTTGACTCAATAGCCAAACCACTGCACAACCTGACCAAGAAAAACGCACGCTTCCAGTGGCATGCCGAGCACCAAGCTGCTTTCGACACACTTAAGCGGCTGTTGACCACTGCTCCGGTCTTGGGTTACCCGCTAGACCAGGGCGAGATGGTCCTCGACACAGATGCCAGTCATATGGGAATCAGCGCGGTACTATCACAAATCAGGATGGCGCGGAGCGTGTTTTAGCCTATGGCAGCCGGAAACTGGCCAAGTCTGAGCAAAACTATTGTGCCACCCGAAGGGAGCTGTTGGCCATTGTAGAGTTCCGATAGTACCTGCTCGGACGACCATTCAGAGTGCGTACCGACCACAGCGGATGACGCGAATGAAGGAATGAAGGAGCCAGAAGGTCAGCTAGCACGGTGGTTGGAAAAGCTGGCGGAATATGACTTTGAAATTGTTCATCGTCCAGGTCGTTTACACACTAACGCTGACAGTCTCTCCCGCATGCCCTGTCGTGAGTCTTGCCCCTGTAAATTGCAGGATCCCTCCTCCCAGCCTAAAACCACGTCATCAAGCAATCCAGTGTGAGATGGACTCTGCTTCCAGATCCCTGTTGCAGAGTCCGGTGGGGGTGGAGACACGCCCCGTGACTGAAACAGCTGTGAGTTTGGTGGGGGTAAGCAAAGACACAGAGAGCAACACAGAGACGATCTATGTGACAAATACAAACAAGATCACATTGTTTCCGGAGGAACTGCGTGATGCCCAAGCTGCAGATTCAGATATTGCCCCAATCAGAGCTTGGTTGGAAGCCAGTCCTGAACGCCCTCCATATTCCATTATGTTCCCATACAGCCCAGCCACCAAAACATATTGGAGTCAACAGTGATGGGCAGTAGCGTCGCTACAAGTAGAGTCGCTACTAGCTTAACTACATTTTTCAGTAGCTTGACAGTAGCGTCACTATTTACAAAACCTAGTAACTTTTCTGTAGCTAAGCTATATTATTGCTCAAGTAGCGCTATTTTCTCACGAACATCTCTGATGTTCATATATTACAGCATTTTCCCGCAGCATAAAACAAACATATAGAAAGACAGAATGCTGATGCGCATACGCAGGGCTTGGTAACGACACACACACACGAACGTACGCGCACACACACACGCACACACATCGCTACTGGGGGAAGCAAAAGCATGGCAGAAAGCCCAGGAGCCGCCGCGGTGGAGGAGGACCATGATAAGGACTCTCAAAGTGTTGTACCGTGGCCATACCTCCAAAAGTACGTCACTCTAGTCGAGATGAGCGAAAAGAAATATGTTTTCAGATGCCTACTCTTTGTTGTTTTTGGTGTTTTGGGCTATTGTTCAATAAATATCTACAAAATTTTAACCTTTATCTGACTGGCAGTTTATCTCAAATAAGAATATAAGCTTTATTAATCTCACACAGGAGAAATTTACATGTCACATTTGGCATGGATAAAACACTCAAGAATTGTGCAAAAAATAAGAAATGAGCAAACATGTTAATGCAGGAAAATATAAAATTGCATGAACTGCAGTTTGTTTAATTGAAAATAGCTTCTATATAGCAAGCTACTTTTGACAGAATTTTGTAACTTAGCTTGCTACATTTGTATGGGTGGTAGCTTCTGTGTAGTGAAGCTGAATTTATTGTAGAGTAGCTTGTAGCTTAGCTCACTACACAAATCAAGTAGCTTGCCCATCACTGGGAGTCAATGGAAGAGACTTTATTTCAAAGACTGAGTACTGGTCAAAAGTTTTTACTGTATGGACGACACCCAGTTTTATCCCCAAATAGTCCTGCCACGCAAACTGCAGTCCGATGTTTTGCGCCAGATGCACGAGGGGCCGGTTGGCGGACATTTCGGTGTTGAGTGCACTGTGGCCAGACTTCAAAGCCGATTCTACTGGTATCACATGAGAGAAGACGTGGCCCTCTGGTGCCGTACATGTACAGACTGTGCCTGTAGGGTCGGACCCAAAAAGACACCGCGAGCTGCCATGGGAACTGTCAGAGTTGGTGCCCCCATGGAGCGCATTGCACTAGACATTATGGGCCCACTCAATGAAACCGATCGCAAAAACGACTAAATACTCGTGATACAGGAGTATTTCACAAAATGGACTGAAGCATTTCCAATCCCTGACGAAAAGGCTGTCACAATGGCCGAAGTTGTAGCAACTGAATGGGTGTGTCGCTATGGAATGCCTCACTCTCTGCACAGCGATCAAGGACGCAACTTTGAGTCAGAAGTGTTTCAGGAAATGTGCCTTTTGTTTGGGATTGAGAAAACCCACACTACATCCTTCAGACCGCAGTCAGACGGCCAAGTTGAACGTTTCAATGCCACACTCCAGAAGATCCTGGCCTCTACTGCGGAACGTTGCCGCTGGGATTGGGACTTAATGATCCCATATGCAGTCAAGGCCTACAGATCAACCAAGCACAGTTCGACAGGATTCACACCAAACTTTATGATGTTTGGATGCGAGATCAATGAACCTGTGGATCTTTTAGCTGGCTTGCCCCCTGACTCTGACCGTGCACTTTCAACCCCAGAGTATGTATAGCAAATGCGTGAGCGGCTGGAGCTTCCGAGGTCCAGCCTCCAGCCGTGTATGAGGACGCCGCTGACGGGGGCGCCGCTGACGGGGACGCCGCAGACGGAGATACCGCTGCCTGGGGTGCTGTGGACCAAGGCGTCGCTGACCTCGGTTTGCTGAGCCTCTTCTCTCCGGTGTTCAGTGACGGCGCTAGCCATGCCCAGCTGCCACTTCTGTCTGCATCCGATGCAGTTGGGTCCCTTCCATCCTCTCCTTCCCATGTCACACTTGACCATGGTGGGTGGGGGTGCGATGGGAGGGTCCCTGTGGAGCTGCACTCCAGACGTCAGCGCCAAGCTCCGGACCGGTATGGTGACTGGTTAACCGAGTAGACTATATTCTACGGCTGAAGTTGCACTAGAGACGTTGCAGTTTATATTTTGAAACAGTTGTCTTGTGTTCTGTGTATCTGTTAAATGCACCTTTTTCTATTTTTTGCAGTTTGAAAGAAAAAAAGAATGCTCAAGAGTCTGTATATTTCTATACCTGTAAGTAAGTAAGTAAGTTTTTATTTATATACCGCCTTTTCACTGCAGATCTGAGTCTCAAAGCGGTTTACAATTGTTAATTTTTGGGCATTTGTCTCTCACTCCACACAGAGATGGGAGCGGAGCCAGTACAGGAGGTGCATGCCAGAACTATTGGACATATTTTTAGTGGTAGGGGAAACCGGAGTACCCGGAGGAAACCTACGCAGACACGGGGAGAACATGCAAACTCCACTCAGAAAGGCCCTGGTCCGACCGGGATTCGAACCCAGGACCTTCTTGCTGAGAGGCGAGAGTGCTATCCACTCAGCCACCGTGCCGCCAGCCACTGTGCACTTTAGTCATGCTTAATCTGTATAAGTAACTTTCTATTTGTAATTATCAGTCAGTTTTATGTTGCTCCCGGTCGCCACAATAACTAAGAAGTGTATTGTTTACCTTTTTTTATTAATCACTGATGTTCACATGTTGCCTTAAGCTAATATGTCACGGAGTAGACAGCATTTCTTGTATTGAAGCCTACCTGTTTAGTTATAATGGATACTGCTACCTCTTAGTTATTCTCAGGCCTGATATTAGGGGAAATGTGTACCCGTTTTCTATTATGTTACTGGATTGGAATTGGTCATTGCCATCCAGGGTGGGGGTAGTGTTGTGAGATCAGAGTAGTGTGTGCGTGTGTGTGTGTGTGGGAGCGCGCCGGTAGACAGAGACAGAGTGAAAGCTACGAAAGAGCGAGAGTGCGACCGGAGCAAGACAGGGAGCGTAGTTGTTTTTGGGAGAGATAATAAAGGCTACTTTTGAGCAACAGTCCGTGTCCCTATATCCGCACCACACTTAACAGCGAGGGTCAAACAAGAAGGGAATTACGCCCCGGAGGAAAGCACCCCTTCGGCCCTGGAGCTGCAAATCTCCCCTGCGCCCCTCGACATCAGTCTTGGGGCTTATAACAGGAAAGGCATAACAGTACACTTTTGTTTTAACATATTTGTTACTGTCTAAATCTTGAAGTGGCTGTAAAGACACTCCTGTACAGCTGAAGCTAAAGAGATACAGTGCCTTGCGAAAGTATTCGGCCCCCTTGAACCTTTCAACATTTTGCCACATTTCAGTCTTCAAACATAAAGATATAAAATTTTAATTTTTTGTCATGAATCAACAACAAGTGGGACACAATCGTGAAGTGGAACGAAATTTATTGGATAATTTAAACTTTAAAAAAAAATAATAAACTGAAAAGTGGGGCGTGCAATATTATTCGGCCCCTTTACTTTCAGTGCAGCAAACTCACTCCAGAAGTTCAGTGAGGATCTTTGAATGATCCAATGTTGTCCTAAATGACTGATGATGATAAATAGAATGCACCTGTGTGTAATCAAGTCTCCGTATAAATGCACCTGCTCTTTGATAGTCTCAGGGTTCTGTTTAAAGCGCAGAGAGAACCATGAAGACAAAGGAACACACCAGGCAGGTCCGAGATACTGTTGTGGAGAAGTTTAAAGCCGGATTTGGATACAAAAAGATTTCCCAAGCTTTAAACATCTCAAGGAGCACTGTGCAAGCAATTATATTGAAATGGAAGGAGTATCAGACCACTGCAAATCTACCAAGACCCGGCCGTCCCTCCAAACTTTCATCTCAAACAAGGAGAAGACTGATCAGAGATGCAGCCAAGAGGCCCATGATCGCTCTGGATGAACTGCAGATAACTACATTAAAATTAAATTAATTAACATTTTATATCTTTATGTTTGAAGCGTGAAATATGGCGAAATGTTGAAAGGTTCAAGGGGGCCGAATACTTTCGCAAGGCACTGTATGCTCGACATGTAGAAAGGGCTACTTTCTCAGGGCCCACAGGGATTCCTGCGGCAGGAGCCTTCTGAGGTCTCTCCAACCGCTACAACAGCGCTGGCCTGGAGAAGGCCCTCTGTCAGTGGCTCCACAGGTGAGGCTCCTTCTGTTGGACACACTACATCACCATCTAAAGCACAGAACAGTTCACGTTCAAAGTTCACATTTTTAATTCTGAACTAGTTCAAAGTTCAGTTCATTTTACTTTTTTTGTGAGATACTTAAATAAATATTTTTTTTCACACTACGAGCTATATATATATATATATATATATATGAGATATCTCACGTGACGTCACGATGCCTTGAACTCGCGGGGCATCCGCCATACTGGAGGACAAGCAAACGCTGTATGATAGTGGCGTGCACCCGGGACCGCATAAACATGTTCAAAATGTTTGCCGTTTTTGGCTGCAGCAAAAGGAGAGACAGGGAAAATAAGTTGTGTTACCGACTGCCAGCCGTCCTTACTTCACACGGCTCAAAAACAGAAGAAATCTCAAAGAAACGAGAGAGAAATGGCACAACCATACGCAACAACAAAAAACTAATAGCCCCCAGAGCGCCCGAATATGCTCGGATCATTTCATTTCTGCTAAGTAAAATCAATTTGATGGCGGATTTAGTGTTATTCCGAAACAAACCGAAGTTTAAGGATAAAACATATCTGTCTGACTGCAACGTGGGGTTGCTCCATAGACTGTAGCTTAGCTTGTAGCATAGCTGTTATATATTTGGTCTCACACAGGACCTCACCCGGTTCACAGGGTATCTGACTTACCGAAGGCCAGCAGACATGTGAACGACTGAGCCGTGCTCGAGGGTGCCCCGTACTAGTATTTATTAATAAAATATACGGCTCCTCACAGTAGACGCAGAAAGCTCCATTGATTTGAATGTAATCTCATTATTTCCACTGCAGTGTAGCCACACATAGATCCATGGTGTAACAATAAACACATTAAATGTTAATCGGAGAATACATTATACATATACATTCTTAATACACGTGCACAGAGGTTTTCAGAATTTTCTGTTCACGTTTTCATGAAAAAACACTGTTTTAATGCGACAATATGCGACCGCGGTAAACCTGGATGTAACGATAAACATTAATAATACATTTTAGGACGCATTTCCAGAGGATTTGATTCATGAATTTAGGTTGAGTATATATTTGGGTCACTAACTGCTGAAGTTTCAAATTCTCTGTTCAGTTTTCATGTAGTTCGAGAGAGTTCTAGTTTTGAACGTCCAGTTATAGATAGCTAGCAGGGCTGTTACTCGCCGAGGTTGTCCTCCAGTATGGCTGCCGTGGCTGCTAGTCACGTGACCGTAGGATCCCTCTATATAATCTCCTGTACACCTACAGGAGGAGAGCCTTTTGACTACAAAACAGACAAGATTTACATGGTTTTCAATGGGAGCAAAACGGAGTTGTCCCATCTCTGCTCATAAACTACAAACAGTAATGCGCTGCAGTGCGTGTGTCTATACTTTATGTCAAATGTAAACGGTGTAAACTTTGTCGCTAACTCACCCTGTGTTTTCATCACGACTCGGGCACATGTGAAAAGCACCAGCTCACAGTGTCGCACCGCAACCATAGACTGTATATATTAATGGACAGAGTCACGCCTATCTCCGCCGTTCATAGGAGTTGGCCATGAAAAGTGCTTTCATGGAGCAATCCAAGATGGCCGCGAGTGGTCCCGCCCACAAGAAAATTGTGAAAAAACGCATCTGCGCATGCGTCAGCCGGCGCAGCTCCATTCATTTGAACGAGAGACTTCAAAAATTCCCCGCGAGTAAACTAGAGTGGACCAAAAAAATCCACCCCCCTCAGCATTGACACACATGTGGAACAGAGCTTTGGGCCAAGAGCCAACTTTTGGTCCATCCTGTAAAGACGTTTTTGAGAGGTCTGCTAACGCTATATGTTAGCATTGGCTAATTCTTCTTCTGGGTCCACCCCCATCGGCCCGGGGTGGTATTGCAGCATGTCAGCGCACGTCATTTTGGCCACTTTTGAGTTGGGACCCTCCCCCACTGACCGCAACACGAGTCAGGGTGCGTTCACAGACGGTGGAAACCGTAGGAATTTTTAGATTTCGGCGGAAAAAGTGCGAGAATACAGGAGGGAGGAACTTTCTCTCGTTGCGTTTCAAAAGAGAAAACAGATTCCAACGTTCATAGTGATGTCTGCCGTTCATGACACATAAAATGAACTAATTCACGTTCAAGTTCTTTTAAAAAAAAATGTTGCGTTCAGTTTAACGTAAAAAATGAGCGTGTTCAATGAACGCGTTCTTTTGAACTCGTTCACACACAACATTGGAGATGAGGGCATCAGCTTCACTGAGATGTTGCCTCAGGAAGATTTGGAGGAGCGGCGGTGTCTTTGGCCACTGACTGAACAGGCCGCAGGGCTGGTAAACGGCCCTTTTTTAGACTAACACATCCATGGACGTCGTGTGGAAGAAAAAAGAAAAATGAGACTTTTTGGTGATGACTTTTGTGCGGTGTGGGAGCTCTAGAGCTGTTTTTTTAGTCTACGCATTAACATTTTACTTATTTATTTTTCTCCAAGAGCCAACAGTCGTGTTGTTTATGACACGTCCCAATCATGTTGTTCATGTATGTTTATATTTGTGTTTGCTGTTTCAGATTCCTCACTTCTTCTTTTCTTTTTGAACGCTGGATAAAGTGTGTTTTCTTCTTGCAGCTTGTCTTAGTCCTTTTGTCGTCTGTGGCTGGATTTTCCTTCTGTGTTTGTGATAAAACATCTTCTCCAGCAGAGAATCCACTGAAGCAGAGGAAGCAGCCTGATAAGTGCAGTAGAATCATTGTTTTCTGGATCTAAACATTCAACAACATCAGATATTGGTCGATGA